TTGCTAGACTAATGGGGTCGTCCTCCCAATGATGAACGTGTCCTGTTGATTTGACACCGGCTGTATCCGGCTTTGCTAATCCCCCATGCCTCACCATTCGATTCAAAGGTTGTCCAATATTCGTTGCCGCTTCGGCAGTTGCGAATTGAACACAACAAAGGTACAGGTACGGTAGAGGATGGCCACAGACAGTACTAGTAGTGCTTACGACTCAAGCTACCAGTGCGACCAGACCAGCGAAAGCAAGTGATTAATCGCAGTAGTAGTCGCCGTGACTCATTCAGTCTCTCTCGGGGCGTTCGGCTTTATTTTTATTCGTTAATGTAAGCATTAACGAGCCGAACTAACCAAATAGATCAGCCAGTTAAGTTCGGGCCCGTGAACTACTGCTACTAGTACTACAACTGCCAGTACCACTTGCCAGCGGTCGTGACTCATTCTGAGGCTGGTTGCGTGAACCGCAGCGGTAAAGGCAGAAGAAATACTTTGAGTATTTGTCCATGCCGTTGTGGGATAGTCGCTAGGGTGGTGAGTACGAGGATGTACGAGGCTAAGATGTCGATCCCGAGCCCTCCCTGAAACGTTGCATCCGAAACAAAATCGGTCCCCAAGTGCCCAGAAGACCCAAAGTTCCTCGAGCCTGCACGCTGAGGGACTTCCGGCCCTGCTTGACTTTCTGTGCCAGTGCCTGATGGCTTTTCTGATCGTGTTTCACGGGCGTTTTGAGGAGTGCTCGATCTGCATGTTCTGCCCAGAATGCAAACAAAACCGCCCAATCGAAAGACGACACGCAAAATATCTTCCGGAGAAGACGAGGCACTGGTGGGTTTGATTTTGAATGAAGTTGATCTGTTGTCTCACACTTCCTTTCAAAAGGAATTGCCGCTCAGGAGCTAACGAACCTCCTGAGGTCCCGACCCCCAGAGCAACTTGCGCATCTCTCCCTGATTGCGGCAACGCTTAGTCTCGTGATGCTTGCACTGCTGACACCCACAGCCGTGACACCCAGAGACGGGACATAGTCAAAGCTATTCAGAGCTGCCCCATCTGCGTTCATATTCCCTGCCCCCCGAAGCTGCACTGTCACCAGCTGCGTTCGCATTCCAAGTTACCCTTCTCTTGTTCAGATATGGGCGGCTCCATTCTCACGTCGACAGAAGCTTAACGGCTCAAAAGCAAGTGAGGCATATCCGCCGGGTGCAGTGCTCGTCGATGGCGTGCTCTCTGCACAGCCCGTCGCCTGGACAGTGGAAGCTGAAGCTTGATCCGCGCTCAGGCACAAGTCGGCTTCCGGGCCCCTGCTCCGGCCTAGCAGCAGGCCATCCCCCCCCTCTCACACAGAGGCACCACGAGACCATAATTAGAATGCCGCTTTGGTTGAAGTAGATACCTTCACGGATTGAGTTGACGATGCTTAGCACTTTTTTCTGTCCATCACAGCTCATGTCGCCGTCCTACGTGGATTCCCCGGAACACCCTGGCCGCTGCAAAGACCGCATCGAGCAGGTCAAACGGCAAAGTGTAGCGGCATCCATTCCTGACGAGGCGCTTCGAGACACGGCGGATTACACAACTTTCATGCCGAGAACCAACCAAAAGGCGAAAGTTCGTGGTAAGGTCTAGCAGATGTGTAGTTTGTGTTTCCGTGTGGGGTGTGGCACGTTGGCACTTAAGCACTCAATTATTTTCTTTCGTTACAACAATGGACTGCTGCGACTGCGAAGCGCCGCTGCTCAGCATGATCATGCTCAGCAGCAGCCAGCCACCAAGGTGCTTAAGGCCCGTGCCTTCCTCGCACCGACTGGCCTCAAGCACTGTGCTATCTAGGACGGTACTTTCACTGAAGTTGACTCATGGGCTTATTGAGGTTTTGCACGGTGATGATATCACCAGCCTACGCAAACAGGACACGCTTTGGCAGCGGAGTCTCGGCATGCGAGCCCGGAGCTCTTTCAACATGGCTTCTCGGGCCGCTTACCCGTCATGTCCAGGGGCAGCCGCCGGCCCAGCCTTCAAGGATGCAATGCATTCAAGGGCTGGCCGTGGGCTGGCTCTGCGCCCAACATGCAGCGCACCGGCGAAACAGCAGAACAAACTATAGCATGAAGCCAAGAGACGGCCAGTTGAGCTCACTTCGGAGAGGATCGAGAAGCATATCGACCTGATACAGGTCTATGTTCTGTGACACGAGCTCTTGCCCTTGACGAGGCAACCAACAACGACAGCTATCAAACACTGACGGTGTGCTGGATCGTCCCGATCTCCCCGCTCAGCCTCATCGAGCAGCATCACGCCACCGTGGAAAAGATCTAAGACCTCGCCACAAACACCTCGGACTCGCGAACACGGGGAATATGGAAGCGAAACGTATGAAGCTATTGCGGATGTGACTTGTTTGTACGGAAAAGACGAATGCCGACTTGCTGATGCCAAGGTAGCGTGGACGAAGATTGCGGCATGCGTCTGTTCTTTGGAATTTGTGGGGGGGAGGGGGGGAGGCGGGCAGTCGTGCAAGCAGCAAACTCAGCTCACCCAGTCGTGGAGAGCAAGCTGTCCGTTTAAATCCAGACTTACCGGGGCTCCAGCGAACCTCATCTGCCTTGACTTTCTCCTGTCGGCAACGGACGAACAGCCCGACAACACAATTGAACCACCTGAAATATCTGACCCATGATGCTTCATCTGGGAAGTGCCCTGGTAACCAAGCCTCTGGAACCTGAAGCCGGCTTTCACAAATCCACCAGTGGCTGCAGACGGACAATTTGCCATTGCATGAGACACTGGGTGCCCTGATCATCCCTGATCCAGAAACTGCCTGTGCAGAAAATTCAACGGGGCATTCTGCAATCTCGTCATCCGGGTTCGATGCCTGGGCATTGCGGCACGTGCACGTGTTCATGAAAGTTTGCAATTTTTGTTTCCCACTCAGATCCTGCCGTCAAAAGTTATCTCGAAATGTTCCCAAACCAAGTAGTTGCATCCGCTAGCTTCGCAATGCGGTATTGCTGAAGCACATAACCTCACACCGACAGAGGCTTGCTGCAATAGTACACCCAGCATGCTGTGCCTCAGCCTGTCAAGCTGAAACCTGCAGAACTCGGGCGCAAATCCTTTACCCCAAGCGCCGTCAGTGGCCGATGGTTCATCCTTAAAGGACCGATCTGGAAACTCAGCCAGCGTGCCACGGACAGCCAAGAAGGAAGACGAAGCCAGCCCTGCACCAGGAACTACACTACACGGTGTCCCAAGAGCAATGCGCGCAGCACCATGTGTACTTCGCAGTACGAAAGGAACTCTAGCGTGCAGAATTCTCCAGCTGCACAAAAGGATGGCAGTATCACAGCAGTGTCCAAAAAACAGCCTTCTTTGCGAAATGCTTTGCAGCATTAATTGCGATGTTACAAAGCTCGTAGCACCTGTCGCATCTACTGTCTCAGCGATGAGGACAGAAAAGGAATCATCAATAGGTCTACGATGTACGCCGAAGCTTTGGCCATCGTCGCTTTGGAAACGACTTGCCAGGACAGGGCATAGGCATAGACGAGGTAGACTGCGCAAACATGCAACGGCCCTGCTCTGCAGAGTTCCCTCTTCGCTGCTTGGCTGGGCTAGACTGCTTGCAGCCTTTTATAGTATGTGTTTTGGCGCGGAAGCGGCACCTGCCGCCCCGCTGAGAAACTGCAACGCCATCTCGCACAGAAGCACTGTTCATGCCAACTCCCACAGTAGCCCGTGCAAAGCAACCAAAAACCATGTGCCGCAGGCGCACAAACAGGAAAGGATGTTCCCGTTACTCGCGGCCAGACTAGAGCCAGGAGCTTCACAGACCTTCCAGTGGTCTTCCTATTGAATTTGCGAGGCTGATAAAGCTCTCATCCTCCCACATCATCAGTTTCCCTGTATACGCTTGCATCGCAGGACTGCGGGGAGGATTGTCGCCAGCACTGTGCCTGTGTTTCCGTCTCAGCCGATTGCTGCAGACGAGATGTCTGTAGGTGGCGCAACCTCACGCAAGTACAATGGAACGCAGGTTAGGAAACACTCGAAATTGTGCGAAAAGTTCGACTCAAGCTCAAACTTGTGATGCACTGACTGGGAGGAGACCGGGACCAACACTCCAAAAGCAGCTCGATGCGACGAAGGAGTACGCTCTTCACCTCATGTTGCGGATCCCTTTCAGCGTTGAACTGCTCGACATGGCGCCGGCTGCATTAAAGATCGCAAGCGCACGGGGATCTCTCAACTTGCCCATGCAGTCCCGGGCCTCGCCCCTGTGCAATTGGAAGCATAACGCATCTGCACTGGTCTGCAGTTTGCAGTGTGGGCACCCTGCGGACGTTGGTGCAGCAATCACTGGCGCCTCGGATGAACAGGAAGCTGTGCTTGCTTGTGGCAGAATGGAGGCCCGCCCAATGGAGGCCTTACGAACACCAGCATGCGACTTGTGTGCACAAGTGGTTTTCCCACCAAGTGGTGAAAGCGAGCGAGCTGTTCTGGCTCCTGTCCAAGGGTTTCGCAAGATCAAAGTGCGTCAATGATGTGCTAGACGACTGCCTGCCGAATCTCTTTTGTCTCGGCTGCTGTGCTCACTTCGTTTCTGGATCGAAGGGGTTCATGTTTCCAGAATGCTTGGCATCGGCACTCTCACCGCAGGCAGTTCGATGGCACGATGGAGCAATCAGCAGACTGTGTTGGCCCTGGCTGAAGGGGGCTGGCTCTGCTTCGCTGGATTAACTGATCTGCATAGCTCGTCTCTGCCTCGGATTGACTAAGACCACTCATGCGCTCAAACACAACTACAGAGGCAAGCACCAAGCCCTGCACCCGTCCCTTCCGTGCAGCATTGAGCTTTGCAAGCAAGTTCGGGGTCGCGACCACCTTCTCCCACAGTGGCCGTTCCAGAGACCCAAGTGGCAACTCATCTGTTCTGTTCCAGACCGGCTTGACAGTTAAACCTTCATGATCAAGTCCAGGGAAGGCAGATCAACTGGTCTAGGGCCTCACAGGAGTGAGAGGAGTGGGGTTGTCCAGCTGCGCGCTCGGAAGGCCTGGCGATGGAAGTCGAAAGTCAGCACAGGCCTGGCGGCGAGGGCTTAAGAAACTGATTGCTCGCAGCTCCTGAATTTGGGGATGCATCTTTGACCAAACCTATGATATATCAGGAAGACCCTCAGGTGTCCGCAACACGCCCGGGACGACCGGGTTCTGCGACTCACGCGAAACATCTCGAAACCCTCTTTTGGGCCCGAAGAGATGCTGGAGAGAAGGCCTTGGCAGCACTGGGGACGAAAATCGTTCTGCGAGTACTGCACGAGACCTCAAGGACAACCCCAGGTGCCAGCATGTTCTATTTACATTAGCGTGGGTTCGGCTTTACCCTATACCTTGAGTGAGAAGCCCTCGGTGTGATCGCTCTCTCTTTTCTTTCGTTTGGGCTGTGGGTCGGGGATTGCTTCCCCTCTCTCGCTCTCTCTCGCTCTCTCTCTCTGTCTTGCTTGCTTGCTTGCTTGCTTGGGGTATGGGCTTCCGAGGAAGCCCTGGCCCGTAGGCCTACCCCCTTGGCGCGCAGATGTCTGTTAGCACATCCCCGTTTTGGGGTGAGTGTGTTCCATGTTCCCCCGAATGTGCCTCGGAAAACCCCCAGCCCCCAAAAGAACACCCCTCTCTCTCTCTCTCTCTCTCTCTCTCTCTCTCCCTCTCTCTCTTGATAACCCTATCCGAAATATTGCGCCCTAGTCAGGTTCCGACAAGCAGCAGTTCCACCTTCCCCTCCTATCGTGGCTTGCCAGACCGAAGGAAGCGACAGCCCTCGCTCTCCACCGCTGCGGGCATGGCATACCCAGCAGTGCAGATGGCATACAGGCACACACCAGCCTGCCAGTGTCGGCTTGAGGTAACGTAGAGTTCTTCTTGTGCTTGGCGTTGGGGATCTAAGGTTTCAAGTGCTGATATTCATGCAGCTTGAACCCGACTCTTCAACAAGCAACCAGACGGACACAGTCCTCCACGTCAACAAGCGGCTGTCTACGAAGCAGGCCGGCGCCGGATCCAGTATTGCATGTTCAGCGAATCCTCTGGCAGATGTTTGTAGTAGCGAGCCCTGACCCTCTGCAAGGAAATGCTCACGACTTCACGCTGTAGTCTTGCATAGTCTTGCACCTTGGTTTGCGAAGCCTCTGTCACGGTAATTAGCACCGTGCCAGGCGATTCCAATTCCTGACCCTCGCTGCAGGCCACCCCACCAAGAAGGTGCCTCGTTCCGTCTGCAAGCAGAAGCACGACCAGCGGAGTTATCATGGTCGTCTTTCCTTCACCCATCAGCATCTGCTGACACCTGGGAGAACTACATCCGGTAGGGAAAAGCATCTACGATGATTATCTCATGGAGCCCCAAAACAGACTCGGACACACTCAAGGCAGAAATGGCAGGACAGAAGGCCTCAGGGACACGTATGAACCGAAAGAGCTTGGTGAAAGGCCAATAGTCCATAGAAAGTAAGTAAAACAAACATATATACACATATATATATATATATGGTGGATTATTCATCTCATCCCAAGCATAGCGGGTTTAAGCAAGCACTCGTCGTGCGCAGCACTGCCGTGGCGAAAGTGTTCACCTCCAAAGCTTCCGACACATTACATGGAAACTTGCCAGATTGTTCGGGCATCTTCAAACTTCACCTTGCCGACCTGAAAAACACTCTGCCCAGGGTGTTTTGGCCCGCTCGCATGGCTGGGATCGATGATTGATGCTGGCATGGTCGGCAAGGGACAGAATGGGGTTAGGCAGTCAACCTCCTGTTGTGATGAAGTTGCTGCCCAAAACATCCGCAAGGCTGTGCAAGTCAAACTGTGCACCCGTTCGGACTTGGCAGCTGCTGAGGCACTGGCACTGAATGACCAGCCTGTCTCAGCTCTGAATCAGCGAACCCCTGCCATCTAGTAAGCTACAAGCTGTATCCAATGGACTTCCGCATGCCTCTGCCGAACTGATCCCACACATTCACTTCCAAATAGAGAAAATGCAAGATACCAGCCGCCACTACCCGGTTTTCATGTGGCCGGCCTCTGCCTTTGCAGCAAAGGCCCGAATGAGCTGCACCTTTTACACGAGAAGCGGCTGCCAGAAACAACTAAAGTTAACGATGCTAAAGGCTCAGATTCTGACCTGCGGGCGACGTAGCATGACCTGACTGCACAAGCTCTCTCTTGACCACAAAGTTTGCTGTGGCCCAGCAAATAGCTAGATCGCCGTCCATCTCCAACAACCTTCGAACCTCACTTCCCTTTCCAAAGCCGAGCGGCATTGCACAAGAACTCGAAGGTAAGCAGGCGTGGGTCATAGCGCAGCTCCGAGCCTTACAGCTTGGCGTCTCGCTGCATTCCTACATGGAATGAAAATGTCTGGCAGGAGGATCATGTAAGCCTGCACTCACTTCCTACCCATACCCAGGCCTTTGTCCGCGTCCATGAAGTGCCTGCTTTCTCCTGGTCGCGGGGGAAGTCAAGGAGTGTCTGAAGAACGCAAGAACATGTCGCATCCAAAAGTCGCTGTTTTCAGGCCAGTGCGGACAATGTGTACGTGTGTACTCCACCCAAGAGTCACCGACGCAAGGCAGGTCCTAGTTGCGATGCGACCTGACCAGGGTCAAATGCTAGGAGCTAGACTGCTCCATGCAAATCCAAATTTCTGAAGTTCTTTCGGTTCGCCAGCCGGGTGTTGGGTGCTCCCAGCACTGTGGAAACGGCATGCTGAACTGTAGTAGTTCTGTGCCGCAGAATGTCTATACTATACGCAGAAGTTGGTCCTTGTTGAAGACGAGAAGTTCGGGGTGTCGCAGGGGATTTGACCAAGTCCTGTATAGTCCTAGCCGGACAGTACCGATAAGCTCAGCTACTGCTCAAAGCAGAAAGCCAGCTCAAAGAACTTCCCTGAAGAGGGCCTTGGCTGCGGGCCTGGGCGGACTTCTGTGGCTGGTATCGCAAACCATGGTTCTGAACCCTGCTTCCTGCGTAAACTTCACGGACCCGCGATCTTGGCAGAGCCTACTTCGGAAAGGTCCACAGACGTCCAGGTCCCGCACAGCTTGCACACGCAAGGAAATGGCCAATTCCGGTCCTCCACGAAGGCGCTCCTGCGTACTGATCCACAGGTTCAGTCTGCGCTCTCTGCAAGGCGGAAGGCTTCGAGATGAAAGCTGATGGACTCTTGGGCCATTACCTTGTCGGCACCCAACTCCGCACACCACAGACACAGCAACGACGCAAGAAGCAGGTCCACAAAGCTGATTTGCGTGCGTGCACTGTCCGTAATTTTGCAGGACTGTCTGGACGCTTGTCCAGTTGACCTTGTGTGCTGGGTTTTTTGCCTTCGGAGGCACTGCCAGACCGTGACACCGAAATCCCCGAACAATCCGGAAGCTTGTTTCCCTGGAATAGAAGCGATGCTTTGGCCTCTGATGTATTGTACAGTACTTTTCGCACAGCTCTCTCGCGAGCATCGTGCTATCCAGCCCGGTGAATCAAGATTGGTTGTCAATGGGTGCCCGGTGTGCTTCAAAACAACGCCAGCTCGCTCCCTAATCTGAGTCAGCCTCTTAATTTGCGACACGAAAATTTCCTTGGATGGCTTCCTCTCGTCTGGGTTCGGGGATGTTAGATGTGAGCCCAGTCCACGCAGTCCTTCCCCTTTGCCTTAGTCGACATATGTCACGATTCTCGCAGGTGCGACCCTTTTTTGCTCCTGGCGCTTGGGGCGTGGATTGTAGCTCATCCTCTTAAGGAAGGCAGTCGAACTCACAAGGAGATGATATTCAGGGTCTCCAGCTGGTCCCCGGGAATGGCTGAGCCATACCCCTTGCTTAAAAAATTCAGGTGAGCGTCCCTGGCGCCTGTTTCAGCGATCGACAGGGACCTCGGCGTCTCAGAATCCAAAGTAGCGCGCGAGATCATGGTCCGGGCTGAAGGCCTCCCTCGTGCCCTGTACTTCACCTACAGCAGTCAGAAAGATGCGTTGGGATTGCTGCTTGCAGCTTTCAAGATTGAGAGGGAGTTCCATCTCGAAACGGCAAGCCCACAAGAACCGAAGCCTCAAGTCCAATTCTCTGAAGATGATGTCGATTTCACTCTCGGGGCTTTCGGGGCAGCCATGTTTGTAGAAACTTCCGCCTGCACCGGCGTGTCCGGCAGAGGTGCTGCCGTCGGAGGCTGGTACTTCCAGAGGAACAAAAGGAGCTCCTGTGGAACAAAGTTTGCCGACTGCGAGCATTGGGGCTCACACGGTCTAGGGACTAGACGTTCAGAGGTTGCAGATGTCCACAGCCGTTATCCGATGCATCAGAGTCGGAGTTGCCATGGTTGTAGTCGCGCACTGCTCGTACGAGTACCGGCACTCATTCAAACTGAGCAGTAGGCGTATTCTGAGCCAGTTCACCGTCATCGTCGTGCAGTAGTAGTAGTAGTAGTAGTAGTAGTTGTTGTTGTTGTTGTAGTAGTAGTAGCAGTAGTAGTAGCAGTAGTAGCAGTAGTTGCAGTGGTAGCAGTGGCAGTAGTAGTAGTAGTAGTAGTAGTTGTAGTTGTAGTTGTAGTTGTAGTTGTAGTTGTAGTAGTAG